TTTATGTCTTTATTTTTTACTTTAACGAGTTGTTGTTCATTTTGGCTGTTTACATTTTCGTCTATAATCTGCGTATGCGAAAAGATTGCAATTATGAGAGCCCCATAAGGGTATTTCTTTCTGCATCGATGCTCTTTTGTCAAAATTCCCTTTTGTAATTATGTCGGATAAATTCGCTAAGACTGAGATCCATCGTCTTGACTCACAAGTTCACCATTCGTGTCCTAATATTTATTATATGAATTGCATTTGCCCTATATCGTTTAAGGTGATGAAAGACTGTTAGTTGATTTTTCTCAATGGTATGAGCCTCATCGATTATCACAGCACAGAATGTGATATGGAAAATGCCTAAAATTCACATCTGCTCTGTGACCCAAGGGAATTCCTGCTTGGGGTGTTGATAAGACCTATGCAAGGTCGAAACTGCAGTCCATCCTGGATGAGAACAACTTTTGGGAAAGCGAGGCAGTGTGAAATTCAATGGAAACGTCAGCTCCATTCATACTATTTTGGGAAAAATAAACTACCAGTCCTTCATCATCTTAAACGAAATAGGATGAATACAACTCATATCTGATTTACTGGTAGTCTCGAGAACCTACTCACTAATATTTATTCCAAAAACTCAGACGGTTCTCACCCTCTTATCCTAATCCTATAAATCTTAGATATTCTTCAACATTCATTTAACCGATGTTATTTGTTATCTGTACATTTATTTTTTCCCCAATCTATCGCTTAACTTTAAATTTTCCTTGCCCAGAAAAACTTTGAGATCAGTGTGTTCATAAATCTCTGATATTTTTGTGAACTTGTATCAGTTCAATTTGACCATTTTATCTCAATGATAGCGACTTAGAGCGAAGGATTTTAAAAAGGCTTGATTTTAGAATTTGATTTTATTTCGAAATTTATCAAAAAGATTGTTCCTATCCATGGCTGGCTGTAAATTCGACTCCGCTATGCTCTACTTATCCGTGTTCAAACGTGTGGGCTTGCGATCTTTGGAGAAAAAATGCGAAAATAGTTAAAACTGCTACTCCTCTACATAGGGTTACTCAGTATTAATTTTTTTTCTTATTAATATCGAATTTATTAAATTTAACTGTAAAAAGGGCTTGCTTTTTTTATCAAATTTCACGCTTGTTTATGTTTCATATAAATCCCTTTTTAGTTTTGAATGCAGTCCATCTCTGGCCTCGTTTTTATTTGGCGACTAGCTTCTTTTAACTTAATATCCTTACTTTATAGCTAAATTTTTCTTCTCTTTTCCCTTATCACTTCAGGTGTCTCTTTTGTCTTGGAACTCTTCCAAATCCAATTCAGGCTCCTCTCTCTCCCTTGTTTCATCTCCTGGATTGTCTTCGAAGCACTCTATTTGACCTGCTCAAGACGTCTCGAAGGATGTCTGAGCTTGGACCTCAATGGTTCTGGCCAATCACTGCCTTCTTAGCGGCCAATCCTCCCAGCCAAACAGACTGCTCTCTTATTCGCCCATCCAAGTCGGAAACGCTAATAAATTCCGTGAGCGCTGGATACTCTCCATCGAAGTCTGACCGGGAAGGAGCGGACCTTAGTACCAAAGTTCGCTTTCGCCGTTACTGCAGAAAAATGTCTGCCAACCAACCGATTTTTTGCAAAACAAGCGGAATCGAAGGAGACGAGTTTATACGGTGGTCTTCAATCCTTGAGAAACCAGAGCATGAGCCCAAATTTTTACTACAAAGCTCCTTATGTCTACCGTCTAGACTTAGCCATTCTGACAGACCCCAAAATGTATCCCTCTCTTTTACCGAGGTGACTATTTGACGTAGCCTATTTTTCTCTGATTTTTTAATATGACCTACCTTTCTTATACCCACTGGCATTTATCAGGAGAATTTAATTTCATCCGGAAGCTATTTTTAGTTTTATTTGTAGACCCGATATCATATGACAAAAATAGTATTCCAGAGTCTAAGTTTATTTTTTCGTAGTTTTGCTCATAAAAATATCTATTTTTAGAGAAAGTTTATGAATTT